ACCCAGAAAGGGTTGGCACAGGTGATGTGATGAGCACCGGCCTTCCTTGAAAGCAGCACCAGCAAAGAAAATCAGGAACCAAAAATGCAAGTATGTGAAAACCACGGGAATGGGGTTCCTCCAGGGCACTCCAAAAGTTAAACACAGAATTATAACATAATGCAATGTAGCAATAGGAACTGAGAGAAGAGACTCAAGTATTAAAACAATAGCATTTAACAGTACTGTACACAGTAAGCCAAAAGGTGGAAACAACCCAAATGCCCATCTACAGATGCCTGGAGAAGTACAGTGTGGTTTATATAATGGAATATTACTCATCCTTAATGAAGAACGAAATTGTCAAGGATGCTATAAGGTGAATGAGCCATTAAAACATTATGCTCAGTCCAAACAAAGGACAGCGATGGAGTGATTCCACTGACATGAGGGTCCTAGAAGGGGCCAATTTATAGAAACAAGAGGCATAGCCAAGGTTATTGGGCTGGGTGGAGGGTGAGTGGGGAGTTAGTGTTTAACGAGTACAGAGTTTCTGCTTGGCAGGATGGTTCGTGGTGATGGTTGCACAACAATGTGAATGGGTGTAACACTACTGCATTTTACACTTAAAACTCTTCAAATGAGAATTGCTATGAAACTTTTGCTGCAGTTTTCAAAACCACCTGTCATACACAGTTATTGAAGTTCCTCTAAAGAGTGGGGATTGACCTGGTGGCTCTCTCTGTCTAGACAAGCTCCATTCAAAAGGTTAGGCTACCAAAATGTGGTTCTAAGAACACTGATCAATAGCCACGTGGTAGAGAAGCCTGGGCAGGTGCCAAGTGCCAGGCTAACAGGTGAACTCTCAAATCAGGGATGATGTGTTAACTCCAAAAACTCCAAGGCAAGGGAGAATCAGAGATTTGTGATCGTTGCATGGGGAGAGAGGTGTTGAGTAAACTGAACAGTTTTTTTAGATTTTGGCTTTCATTTTTTTTCTCTTTGCAAAATATTTGGTTTCTGCTTTTTGACAAGCAAAGTATCTCCTCCTTACTGTGGCCTAACATTACCTTCCCCAATTGTTGCCACTAATAGAAGTCATCTATAAATGTCAACCTCAGCCAAGAAACAATATGGAATGTATGGGGAGAAGTGGGCAAAGCAGCTGATTTTCTCAATGGAAAAAGACATCCCATGCTTAGATCTTGATCCAGAGTGGCACAGAATGTGACTTTGAGGTTTGTAAATAAACTTTTTTTTGGCACTGCAATGTTTCCTATTGCATCATTATATGCCTTGACAAAAAGGCGAATGCCACTCTCTGTCAATTGATGTAAAAACCAATTTACAGCCTGTTCTTCATCATTTCTCAAGTCTTTGCATGCTGTCATTGTCCTGTTTTTCCAATACTATTTTCAAGATTTCAGCTTATGGGCCCGGCACAGTGGTCTAGCGGCTAAAGTCCTCACCTTGAACACACCAGAATCCCATGTGGGCGCCAGTTCTAATCCCAGCAGCCTTGCTTCCCATACAGCTCCCTACTTGTGGCCTGGGAAAGCAGTTGAGGACTGCTCAAAGCCTTGGAACCATGTTCCCATGTGGGAGACCCAGGAGAACCTCCTGGTTCCTGGCTTCAGGTCAGCTACATCTCACGAGTGATTTTACTGTGGCCAGATTTATACTCAAACGCTGCACCATCCAGACACATTTGGGCTATAGATGGCTAAAGGCAACAGTGTCAGGCAGTTGCTTCCATGGGCTTGTGTGTCTTTGTGTAAATATGTTATAGGCAACAGGCAGCTGAGCCTTGAAATAACAGAGATTCCACTTCCTTTCCCAAGTCTTTTGACTCCATCTCCCCATCTTCGAACCTCTGTAAGGATCTCTTGGTGATCTCTGCTCTGCTCTACTGCAGGGGATCATCTTGGGGCAGTGCCTTGGTCATGCCAGGCCCAGAACAAACAACCTTCATAGAATGTTGCAGATAAAAACTATTTAGTCTGGCATTCAAGATTCTACACAATTTCACTTCTGCTTTTCTAACTTCCCTTCCCGTACTTTCCAACACACACATTATGCTCAGCTAGGTTGTCCTAGTTATTCATTATGCCCTGGACTTAGGTCAAGCTTTCCCACTCTCCTTTTCTCTCTCCTCTTTTCTCTCCAAATCCTGCCCATCCATCATAACCCCTTCCCAGCTTCTCTCTCCTGGAAAAAAACCTCCTGGAGCTCCCTGATGCACAAGGATCTCTCCATCTGCTAATTTTTAAAAATCCTTTACATCTGTGCCTGTCATCAGAAGCTCATTGTACACTGTCTGGCATGGCTCATTTTCTTCTTTTGGGCTTGTGCCATATGGCACCAACCGGATTATAATCCCATGCAGAGCAGATGGCCCACTCAACACTGCTGTGAATACCCAGCCTCGTCTGCGTCCTGACTGGACCATGGACCATGAGGCAGAACGAGCCGACAATGTAGTTGAGCACAGGTGTAATAAACAGACTTCACCCAATCTACTCTACCTACGTTACCTGAAAAGAAAACCTTTCTCTACTCCACAATCATCCTACTTTCTGGTCTCACTGAGGTTTACTATACCTGAGGTAGATATTTGGCCTCCCAAGCAGCTCTCCCATTGATAATATTTTCCAAAAAGACTCAAACTGTTTTCAGTTGATGGTGATGACAGGAGCATGGAAGTCATGATGCTAAGGATAGACTGGCAGCTGTGTTGGACAAAGCAAGCAAGATTATTGTGCCGAGGAAGTTGGTTTAGGACACGGGGCATGACCGATATCTCTGTAGCTCCTGCTAGCTTGCTGGCTCTCAGAGCCACAGCTGCTAAGCAAGGTCTGATTATACTTCCTGTCTGTGAGATCCCCTAGTAAGACTGCAGAAAATTGGAGCTACTTGGAGTGGCCTTCTAGATTTTTGCTTTGTGTTATGGGTTGCCAGCAGAGGAACCCTAACTAGGAAAGAGGCAATAGGAGCTCATCATAATTTGCACTTTCCATTTTTCACACCCCTCCCAGACAGGCCTTTTGCGAGGATCCTTCTCCTTCTCTTCTCCCAGGGCTGTCACTGCAGAATGTGACTCCCGAATTCCTGATGTGGAGAACCAGGGATCAAGTGCTCCAATGCTGTCAAAAAAGTGACGTTGAGTGACAATGATGTCTCTGCTCCTGTCCCTATTCACTTCTCTATTTTTAGTTCTGTTGCTGCTCTCTTAAATCCCAGTGCCTGGAGTTTAAGTAATTGCCAGAAGTTATTTAACAGGAACCTTACTCTTCTTTGAAGATGCTGCTTTGATCTTGAGCCTAGATCCTTCTCTCAGCAGCAGGGATGGTGGAATGTGCCATTTCACAAAACACCCAAAGAGAGTTTGAGTGAAGGGCTTGACCTGCTGGTTGTAGCAGAAACGAGAGCCAGCCACAAGGAGTTTCCCATAGCCCAGTGTCTTCTGCAAGTTCCTCTCTACCTAGAAAATGAAACTAAGATGGTCAGGCTTTCTGAAGGATACCAGGAAATAAATCAACATACTAGTTGAGAAATGTTTTAGAAACAAATTCCAGATAATGTTGTTATTGTCAAAACCCACTTATCCTCCAAATAGTGTTAAATGAGTAAATGTCATATGCAAAGAACTCTGCAGGACTCAAAGTTGAGTGAGGATGCATGGGGTTACATGAGGTCTGCTGGTAATGATGGCTAAACTTTTGATGTGCACCGAAGCCTGTACAATACCCCTATAATTTGTGAATTTTACGTTAAACACAAATTATATCTTCCATCAGAAAATACTTGTAAAGTCTTTTTTTAATCTATATATGAATTAAGAATCAGTAGAGTTAAAGCAATTGAGAAAAACACTATCATTTCCAAAAAACGGCACAGAAATTCACCTGAGTCTTCCTCCAAAGTGGATCTCTGCCCTTCAACATTGGTTGGCATTCAGAGTAAATTGCTGTGAATCAGAGGTCAGGTCCCCCGGAGCAGACGGGGGCACAGGAGGAGTGCTCTGGGGACCACATTAGTGCGAGGCTGGAAGAGCAAGATTGGGCAGAAGAGGAAGGTGGATCTCATTGAATAATAACAAGGTCTCACCTAATTGTATGAGGTGTTCTGTCCATGGGGTGAACCCACCCCAAGCCTTGCTGAGAAGCCACGCCCCTCTTCCCACACAGCCATCACAGTAAGAACTCCACAATGCTAAGAGGGTCTCACGCTAGTATTCTTGTGATTCTACAGGCACACAGCTGAGGGGTAAGAATATATTCCAGACCCACCGGTATGTTAGTTTCAGTAGAATCTAAGTGGTCAGGGAATCTTCATACAATCTCGGCACCTTTACTCCAAGCCCAGCAATGCCAAGTCGCTGGCTTCTTTACCATGGATTTCAGAGCCGGTATGTGGTGCAGTGGTAAAGCTGTGACACCAACATGCCTTATGGGTTTCCGAACCAGTTCCCTGCTAGTGCGATTGGGACAGCAGCGCAGATGTCCAAGTGCTTGAGCCCCTGCATGAAGCCCCTGGCCCCTGGTTTTTGCCCTTGTTCAGTCATTTGAGGAGTAAACCAGCAGGAGGAAGATCTCTCTGTGTGTCTGTCTCATTTCCTCCCTCCATCACTCTTCCTTTCAAATAAATAAACAGAGAGAGAGAGAGACTTGTGCTGTTTGTCAGTTATTAAAAAAAAAAGATTTATTTTAATTGGAAAGTCAGATATACAGAGAGGAAGAGAGACAAAGAGGAAGAACTTCCATCTGATGATTGACTCCCCAATTGGCTGCAATGGCCAGAATTGCGCTAATCTGAAGCCAAGAGTCAGGAGCTTCTTACAGGTCTCCCACATGGGTACAGAGTCCCAAGCCGTTGGGCTGTCCTCAACTGCTTTCCCAGGCCACAAGCAGGAAGCTGTATGGGAAGTAGGGCTGCCAGGATTAGAACCGGCGCTTATATGGGATTTTGGCAAGCAAGGCAAGGACTTTAGCCACTAGGTTACAACACTGGGCCCTTGTCAGTTATTTTATTCCAAGAATAAACCAACCTTAACCCAGATGAGAGAATTATTCCTGTTTTTCCATGGAAATCTTTAGTAAAAGGTAAAAGATTTATGCGATCTGAAGAGAAACCAGAGTATTATTCCTGTTTTTCAAACTTGCCATTTTCTTTAGCACATACACCTACGAGTTAACAGTATTATTTCAAAATGGACTAACAATTAAACAGGCATCATGAAAAAGGAAGAAAATAACATTACATTCCTGGAATTATATTTACAAATCACATTGACTCTGTTTAGAAAATGAATTAAAATGGGCCTGGCTTGATAGCCTACCAGCTAAAGTCCTTGCCTTGCATGTGCTAGAATCCCATATGGGTACTTGGGGAGTGAATCAATGGACGGAAGATCTTCTTTGTCTCTCCTCCTCTCTGTATATCTAACTTTGCAGTAAAAATAAATAAATCCTAAAAAAGATAATATATATATATTCTAGTGCTAAATGTTTTTTAAAATAAAAAAGGAAAAAGAATTAAAGGGCCTGGCACGATAGCGTAATGGTTAAAGTCCTCGCCTTGGACACCTGGGATCCCATATCGTCGCCAGTTCTAATCCCGGCAGCCCTGCTTCCCATACAGCTCCCTGCTTGTGGCCTGGGAAAGCAGTTGAGGACGGCCCAAAAGCCTTGGGACCCTGCACCCATGTGGGAGACCCAGAAGAGCTCCTGGCTCCTGGCTTCAGATTGGCTCAGCTCCAGCCATTGCAGTTACTTGGGAAATGAGTCATGGGATGGAAGATCTTCCTCTCTGTTTCTCCTCCTCTCTGCATGCCTGCCTTTCAAAAAAATAAATAAATCTTAAAAAAAAAAGAATTAAAATGAAAATATAAAATGAAAAACATGAAAGACCAAGATAGCATCTAGAACACTTGTAATATCCTCATTAGATAATAACACATAGTAAAATTTATTTACATACAATATTGTAGGATTGAAATTCTTCTAGGTTATTTTTAAGCTTGCATAAGGTCTCATCCCTTGTAATATTTTTATGTAACTTACTGAGATGAATTATTTAAAAATTTGCCTTGATTTTTATCTAAATCAATTTGTAGTTTGAATCCCATGTTCTAAAGAAAGACATCCCCTGTCACCTAATGAAACTCCAAAGCCACATCGCTAATTACTTCTTTGTCCGTTCCTGTTGATGACCTTAGCTCAGAAATGTATCCAGATCACTGTGATTTCAGCTCACCCCTAGCAGACGGCATGGCCAGGTCATGTCTGCTGAGAGGATACATATATGCGCTTTTCCTGGATGGCCAATTCTTCGTGTATCTGTGAGAGTTTTCATCAAGAAAAAAAATGTACATCATCTTACATTCATGGTTTTTCAGATTATAAAGAACCACTCTTCCTTTCTGATTTGGCTGCTCTTCAGATTACTAAGTGACTTTAGCAGATACTTTGGGTAATTTAGGTTCTTTCCAACTTATTCTTATCATATTGCTGTTGTATCTACTGAATACACTAAATGCCATTCGCTTTATGCCTGAGCCTGAAGCCAACCCCTATCTGCATTCAACAAATTCTCACCAGCTTGTTCATAGCAACGATTCTTGAGCTACAGTCTCTAGCTTCAAGCCCTACCTCTGCCTGCTGCTTAACTCTAGGAATAATCACCACCTTCCATGACTGTTTTACCATCTATATAGTGGGGATATCTGCTCATAGGATCACTATTACAAAGGCTTGAATTATAGACAGTGGCTGACATATTTTAAAAAGCAAGTATTGCTATCATTATGCCATTTTATTTTTTTAATGTACTTGTGTTTACTAGTATCATTTGATGATACAACATATTAAAAATGTATAAAATATATACATTTTAAGTATAATGTATAAGATGATAAAATGTATCATTATGCCATTTTAAAGGATTCAGTTAAAAGCAGTAGTTAGCATATAAATACTATATGTATGAGTATTGTATAATTATGCTACTTTTTACACACACACACACGCACAAACCCACAAATGTAAAACTGTTCCCACTTATAGAGCTAAACTCTGACACTGATCTTTTTTTAAATGACAGTACAAAATCCGTTGTGGGGCTTGATCATTCTCTTCTGTTACAATTGAGATCACATTGCATAACACCAAAAAGAAGATATTCAAGCTAATGAAAACATGTGTTCAATTCCTCCCTCAATAGCAGGGTGCCCTGGGCTGGATGCTGCTTTCTGGTGGTGACTGAGAGCCGGGCCAGTTCCTCTGTACAGTCCTTGCCACTGTTTCTCTCCCATAGGTCCACTAACCATAACCCTTTGTGGACGCAAATCACAGAGTTTCTGGCACATTTTCATTTCTCACATTTGTTCTCAAGTAGTTGTTAGCAAAATCCCTCAAAACCTGAATATGAAGCTTCCTTGCAGGTGGTTGAAAGCTCAAAAGAGGCCTATATTGCATATAACAGAGCGAGACGGTTTCTAAGAAAAGAATTTAGCAGGTGTTGTGTGTTTTTTTCTACAAAATGATTGTGATATCCTACCAATACCTATTTCTAGGCAAGTACACTTTTAACATAGCCACTTGCTACACATCTGGAACTAAAAAGAATGGGTAGTTTTTCCCTTTCCTTCTAATTTCTCAGAATATGGGTTAGCTTCACAGAATCACTTGACTCCTTGGCATCCTCAATAGTATTTCTTGACTGCATCCATCCCGAACAGTCTCCTGTACTAATTGAATCTGATAAACATGAAACCTACCCAATTCATAGAAAAAGTCAAAATTTAAAAAAAGGACCAAAGTTTGAATTTCAAAAATAAGTAAATAAAGGAAAACTATGAATCCAGGAAAGCTCTAATGAGGTGGTATTTTGGGCCAAGGAAATTACCCTACATGGTTTGGTGATCTCAGAAAGAGGGTCCTGGTGTTTACTAGGGCAAAAGGGAAGACTTTAGGAAATCTCCCTCTGGTAACACCACACACACATGTGTGCTTCCACCTCAAGTTTGTATTAGGAGAAGGCTAACCTGCCCATGAACTTGGCAAATATTGCAGAGTGTCTGCCAGGTGACTGGATGCAAACCACAGATGCTATATTCCTTGACCATGACCTTTGTGAGGTTCCCCAGATGAGTTCATCGGGAGTCCCTTCAAGTGCCCCCCTCGCCCTGCTTGCAGGACTCTCAACCCTCAGAGGATAAGCTATCTATCAGTGGACACTGCGTAGTAAATTATAATCCCAGGAACTATTGGAGAGGGATTTTTTTTCTAAAGATTTATTTTATTGTTATGGTTAAGGCAGATTCACAGAGGAAAGGAGAGACAGAAAGATCTTCCATCTGCTGATTCACTCCCCAGTGGTCACAGCTGCCAGAGCTGACCCGATCTGAAGCTAGGAGCTGGGAGTCTCCCCCTGGTCTCTCATGTAGGTGTAGAGCCCCAAGGCTTGGACCATCCTCAACTGTTTTCCCAGGCCACAAGCAGGGAGCAGGATGGGAAGTGGGGCAACCACCTGGAATACGAACTGGCACACATATGGGATCCTGGCATATACAAGGAGAATACATTAGCTGCTAGGCTACTGGGCCTGGCCTGGAATGTTTTGTTTTCTGTTTTGCTCTTGTTTTTCTAGAATGTTTCTTTAAAGGCAGGGTTAGACAGAAGAAAAGAGGGAGAGAGATCTTCTATCCACTAGTTAACTCCTCAGATGGTTTTAGCCAGCTTTTTCTATGTCTCCCATGTGGGTACAGAGGTCATCCTCTGCTGCTTTCCCAGGTGGCTTAGCAGGGAGTTGAATGGTAAGTGGAGCAGTGGGGAATTCAACCAATGCCTATATGGGATGCTGGCATTGAGGAAGCAGCTTAACCTGCCATTCCACAGAGCAGGCCCCGGAAATATTTCTGATCACAGCACAAGAAGTATTCCAGGGCTTCCTAACCCAGAATCCCCAGTAGCTCATGAGGGGCTTTACAGCTGTCTTCCTGTGGCGATAGCACAAGGAAGAAAATAAGATGCTAAAGAAACCACACACTGAGAGAACTCAGGCTAGAAATTCACAAAGCAGAATCATCTGGCTCCAGTTCCCATCATTAGCAAGCAAAGATTAAGACCTCTGGCAGTGATGGGGAGGTACAAGAAACAGATGTCCAGGGCACAGAGTGACAGCCTAGCGGCTAAAGTCCTCGCCTTGTAACCACTGAGATCCCATATGAGCACCGGTTCATGTTCCATCCGCTCCACTTCACATCCAACTCCCTGCTTGTGGCCTGGGAAAGCAGTAGAGGATGGCCTAAAGTCTTGGGACCCTGTTCTCATGTGAAAGACCCAGGAAAACCTCCTGGCTCCTGGCTTCAGATCAGCTGCTATCTGAATAAATCTTAAAAGAAGAAGAAGAAGAAATGAATGTCCACACTTGCAGACAAGTTTGGAACATGAACAGTATAAACATATTTGTGTATCAGACAGGACCAGTGCTCGCTCTCTCTCTCTCTCTCTCTCTCTCTCTCTCTCTCTTTCTCTTTGTCTGTGGGTCCAACAGTGATATGGTGCCTCATATCAAATCTATACCCCAGCACAATCTTAGGAGAAACATCAAAGTCAAACTTTTTCAATACTTTGATCATCATGAAATTCCTTTTCAGTCCTAACTCTGAGCATTCCTGAACCCAAAGAACACGAATTTCAAGGTTACCCAGACTGAAGCAAAGCAAACCAATCAAGCTCCTTTCCTCTGCCTCTACCCTTAATAAATTGTCCTAAAGGATGATCTCTTTTTCTTCATGCCACACACCTCAAGGACACATACCTGGGACACACACCCTGGGCAGACACCAGGCTGGCCTGAGCACCTTTCTGGTATGTTCTGAGTACCTGAACCCTCTTCAGTCCTGAAGTGTTCCTTCAGTACTGCTCTGGACAACTCATTAGAGGAGGGAGCCATCTATTCACCTTGCATTGCCTCAGTTTCCCCATCTTGAACTAGGTTTGTGTTTAACAGGCTCTTAGGTAGTGATGACTACATTCCAGGCACTGCATTAAGTACTTTATAGAAATGACCAATTTACTCCCCACTGTAAACTTCCAATTATGTGCTTTCCTCTGCACACACACACACACCCTTGCC